GGAGGAGGAGGACCAGTGTAAACGCACGAGTCATCAACGATGTTGGAATTAACCCGCCCCCAAGCTCCCTCTTCATAGGCGCCTGCAGCGGTTCATCTCCACTGAGGACAACCGCTTGAAGACTTTGAAGCATGCCGAAAGGTTGTTCTCGGGATGTCCATGCCGCGGATCAACTTGAGCGTTGCATCCTGGCGATCCGGAATCGTGCCAGAAGGACATTGTTAGGACTTCAACACCGGGAACCAATATAATTGTTGCACCCGCATAAGCATAAGCTTGAATCCTGCGAGAACACCATATCAGGTACGTTGATCATGGGAATCCGCGAAACTCTTGCACATAAAAAAACGGAAGCGCGCGGCGCTAAGGTGATAGCCACATTCGAAAATCACCAGCCCTCAATCCGTGCAGCTCTTGCACTAGTTTTCAATGAATGTGCGCGGCGCTAAGGCGAGAGCCACATTTTTTAGATGACCCGCCCTCAGCCCGCGAAGCTCTTGAAGATTTTCAAAGAACGAATGCGCGCGGCGCTAAGGCGAGAGCCACATTTTGAAAACCACCCGCCTTCAATCCGTGATTTGCTTGTGTTTGTTACACTAATGCGCGCGGCGCTAGGGCGAGAGGCACATTGAGAACCACCCGCCCTCAATCCTCGAAGCTCTTGCAAATGTTCAAAACGAGTACGCGCGGCGCTAAGGCGAGAGCCACAGTTTGAAAACCATTCGCATTCAACCCGTGAAGCTCTTGCAAAGGTTTGAAGCGAATGTGCGCGGCGCTAAGGCGAGAGCCACATTTTCAAAGTGACCAGCTCTCGATCCGCGAATCTCTTGCACATCTTCGAAGAACGAATGCGCGCGGCGCTAAGCCGAGAGCCACATGTTGAAAACCACCCGCCCTCCATTGTGAAGCTGTTGAAATTGTGTAAGCTTCAAAGTCATAGATGGAGAGGAAATCTCAGGCGAAACGCCCAGCTCGCCCTACAAAGTGGCCCCGGGGTGCGACAGTGAGAAATTATTTATCAGGAGAACGGATGGAGGAGGAGGAGGAACAGAAGGAGGAGGAGGAGGAGGGAAGGAAAGATGAAGAGGAGGAGGAGGAGGAGGAGGAAGAATAAGAGCAGGATGATGAGGAGGACGACGAGGGAGAGGAGGCGGAGGAGGAGAGGGAGGAGGAGGAGGACGAGGAGGACGAGGAGGACGAGGAGGAGGATCGGCGCGGCATAGAGCGGTCCAGTCGAGCCAGGACCGCCCCGAGCGCGACCTCGCGCCCCACGCGAGGCCGCAGTGGCGACGAGGCCCCCCCGCCGCGTGAGCGCGACCGCCCCTAGCACCCCGCAAGCGGGGTCCTAGACGGCCGCACTCACCCCAGGCCCTCGGGCCTGGCGGCACCCACAGGCACGGGAGCCACGGAGGCCACACGGGGCCCCCCGCCGCCAGGGTCCGAGGCGAGTCCAGCAGCCCCGCCTGGCTTGGCCCCCTGGGGGCCTCCAGTGCGGGGCGTACGCGCAGCAGCGCCGTCGCTCAGCCCCGCCGCGTCACAGCCGCGGCGGTAGGCGGCCAGGAACGAGGCGACCACGGAGCTCCGCCGCGCTGCCTCCGCCGCCTCCGCAGAGCCCGCGGCCGCTCCCTCTCCCTCCTCGCCCCCGCCAGCAGGGCGGTGAGCCCGCGGCAGGGGCCCCTGGTGGCGCCGCACTGGCGGCTCTTCCACCCCTCTTGGGCCGCTCTCTGCCGCCTCAGCAGAGTCCGCGCCCTCGTCCTCGCCCCCGCCCGCAGGGCGGTGAGCCCGCGGCGGAGGCCCCTGGTGGCGCCGCGCTGGCGGCCCTTCCACCCCTCTTGGGCCGCTGGCGTCCCTTCGGCCTTCCCCATCGGCCTCGCCCTCCCCAGGGGTCGTGGGGGTCGCCGCGGCCTCTGCAGCTGCTCCAGCGGCGCACCAGTCCTCACCTCCAGCGCCGTCGCCGCCTCTGACGCCCTCCGCCGCCTCAGAGCCCCAGTCCTCACCTCTCATAGGTGGCACGCTCTGGCCACCGTCCTCGCCACGAGCGACGGGGCTCCCACTGATGGGCTCGGCGGGAGGAGGGGCGGGGCCAGCGCCCACCTCCTCTGCTGCTGCCGTCGGCTCGCCACCGCCAAGGCGCCGCAGCGTGACGGCAACCTCGCTCGCGATCCTGGGCGCGAGCCCAGCACGCAGGCGCGCGATAGCCGCGCTGCCCGCGGCCGAGGGCGGCGTCTTGCACTCCAGCCCGAAGCTGCAGGCGCGAGCGGCTCCAGTGAACCCGCACCTGGTGCATGCGACCAACGGCAGCCTCCGCTCCAGCTCGCTGTCCAGCACAGGAGCGATGGCGACCAGGTCGTGCGCCGCGAGCCCCTTCTGCACCAGCAGCTCGTTGGCCTTCACCGCGTCCTCCAGGATGCTGCCAGGGCACTCGCCAGCGCGGTTGGTCCACCTGCAGACCTCACACCATCTGTCCTTGCCCTTCCCGCGCCAGCTGCAGCTCAGCCACGCGGAGGCTTCACGGCGCCGCCGAACCGCCCTCTTCGGCCGCTCCTTGCGATGGGTGGTGTCGCTGCCATCCACCCATGTGCCGACCGCAGTGCACCACATGGCCACCAAGTCCACCTGCTGCCGAGCCAGGTGCAGCTTGCGGCGATCGGCGGCCGAGGCACGGCCCTGGGCAGCCGCCGCCTTCGCAGCTGCGTCGGCGTACGAGTTGCCCTTCCAGTCGCGGTAGCTGATGGCGCCGTCCACGACCTGCCTCCTGGTGCGGTGGGCAGGGACCCATCGGAGGTGCACTGCACGACCAAATAGGGAGCTCCACTCCTGGCAGGGTTCGCATGGCGGCCTCGGGCCATTTCGGCACACCCCTCACGAGGATCGTGGCCCCACTCCACCGAAGGCCAGTGGCAGGGTTCGCATGGCATTTCAGGTGCGCCCAGGAGTACGCGTAGGCGGCGGTGTGGCAGGGTTCGCATGGCGATTTCGGCACACCCCTCACGAGGATCGTGGCTTGTGGCAGGGTTCGCATGGCGGCCTCGGGCCATTTCGGCACGAGGATCGTACTCCACCGTACATTCGATTTCGGCACACCCCTCGACCACCATAGGGAGCTCCACTGAAGGCGCCAGTGGCACATGGCGGCCTCGGGCCATTTCGGCACACCCCTCATCGTGGCTGGGAGCTCCACCGAAGGCAGCGGGTTCGCATGGCGGCCTCGGGCCATTTCACCGCCATGAGCTCGCGCATGGCGGCCGTTTCGGCATCACGTCGACGTAGTGGCAGGGTTCGCATGGCGGCCTCGGGCCACGGCACACCCCTCACGAGGATCGTGGCCCCATAGGGAGCTCCACCGAAGGCGCAGTGGCAGGGTTCGCATGGCGGCCTCGGGCCATTTCGGCACACCCCTCACGAGGATCGTGGCCCCATAGGGAGCCCAGCCGAAGGCGCCAGTGGCAGGGTTCGCATGGCGGCCTCGGGCCATTTCGGCACACCCCTCACGAGGATCGTGGCCCCATAGGGAGCTCCACCGAAGGCCCGTGGCAGGGTTCGCATGGCGGCCTCGGGCCATTTCGGCACACCCCTCACGAGGATCGTGGCCCCATAGGGAGCTCCACCGAAGGTCCAGTGGCAGGGTTCGCATGGCGGCTCGGGCCATTCGGCACACCCCTCCGAGGATCGTGGCCCCATAGGGAGCTCCACCGAAGGCGCCAGTGGCAGGGTTCGCATGGCGGCCTCGGGCCATTTCGGCACACCCCTCACGAGGATCGTGGCCCCATAGGGAGCTCCACAGAAGGCGCCAGTGGCAGGGTTCGCATGGCGGCCTCGGGCCATTTCGGCACACCCCTCACGAGGATCGTGGCCCCATAGGGAGCTCTCACCGAAGGCGCCAGTGGCAGGGTTCGCATGGCGGCCTCGGCCATTTCGGCACACCCCTCACGAGGATCGTGGCCCCTCCACGAAGGCGCCAGTGGCAGGGTTCGCATGGCGGCCTCGGGCCATTTCGGCTCACGAGGACCGTGGCCCCACTGGAGCTCCACCGAAGGCGCCAGTGGCAGGGTTCGCATGGCGGCCCCGGGCCATAGCGGCACATCCCTCACGAGGATCGTGGCCCCATAGTTGCGCTGCTTCAACAACCGCGCATGGGCGTCGTACTCCGCCTTGTCGACGTGCAACGCCACCTCCTCCCTCATGGCTCTCAAGGCCTTCTCCTGCTTCTGCTCCTCGGTGAGAGGGATGCCGTCCTTGTCGTCGTCGGCGCCCGCGAAGACGGCCACGAACGTGTCCCTGAGCATGTCGGGCTCCGGCGGGAAGCCGTGGCCACATAGGGAGCGCAGGCGAAGATGGCATTCACAATTGCGGCATTCACAACTGCATATGGTTGGGTCCTTCGCCAGGATAATTAGAACAGTTCTTCCAAACAACCCTCCTGGGGAAGAAGGTTATATCAAGATTTTTAGGAAGGTTCTTCCAAAAAGCTGTCCTGGGGAAGGTTTTGGGAAGGTTCTTCCAACAACCCTCCTGAGGAAGGTTTTAGGAAGGTTATTAGCGAGGTTTTTCCAAAGAAAAAACTCCTGAGGATGAGTCGTTGTTCTTTCTCTAAGGAGGCCCAGAGGTCACCGGCTGGACCCCGCCCACCCCAACCCCAGGCTTCGGGATGTCAGGGGCACTTCTGTGAGGATTGTTGGTCAGCGAACGGGTTGTTGGGCAGAGCCGACGGAGGGGTTGCGTTTGTATTCGGCCGATGTGAGTGCGCACATCTCCATGCGCAGGCACAAGTACATGTGCAGATGGCGGGTATATTTGTATTACCTCCTGCGTTTGACGAGCGTTCTTGCCGTATTGAATTCGACCCACGCTTCGAGCTCCGGATAGTCTTCCAATCAACCACACCACCATCGTATCTCGGTGGTCATGATCAGCATCGTCATCATGACCCTTCATCGTGACCATGGCCCACATCATCACCACAGCTGGCGGATCACGTGTTCCATCAGTTTTTTGGCGAGGTCTTGGCGCAGCTGCACAGCACGCAGGACCCGGGCACGTCGGTGAAGGCCAAGGCCGCTGCGTATTTGCAGGCGAAGGCGCGCACGGGGCATCTTGAAGTTCATATCATAACACGTTCACATGTTATTGAGGACCCCTCGCAATGCATCACATCATATTAGTTGTCCTGCTCCAGATCCTTGTAGTCTACCTCCGTCCTCTCGCCCCTCCTCTTGCTCCTTCCCCGTGCCTCCGCCCTCCCAGGATGCTCCCAGACCCGATGACCCAACGACGGCACTGCAGGTGTCTCAATTTTGTCCTCGGTCGTACTGAATGCTTGCGCGCTTGCACTTGCCAATTTAGCGCTACATCCTGGTCTTGTCTGGCCAGTGTTTGTACACCCCAGCGTTGCTCCATACACGATTGATCATGAGTAGTTAAGCTCGCAGTTCTGGCTTACTGCAAAATCAAACCAGGGAGGATAGCAACACGACTGGCATGTTGATGCACATATTGTAAGCGAGCATTGTGATTCAGGCTCAGAAGATGGGCAGCCGCTACTTGGCCGTGATGGCGCAACACGCAGCAGATGATCCTTTCGAAAAAGTGAAAAAGATGATAAAGGATCGCCGTCCACGGAGCTATACCAGGCGAGGTGTTATTGGTATTCCCGCTAATATTGTGCCGGTCGGAACTCACAGCAGGGGCGTAGCTTAGATTTCCAATGGGATTTGGGAGATTCCTTTTGTCACCCTAGATGTGTTTTCAGACGATAGTGTCGCAAGTTTATCGGAGCGACGACCGCGGTTGGAGCGTGCGAATGGAAGTGGGGGCGATATCTTGCTATCTTGCTCCCCTGCGCCTGATGCAACGACACCGTTTCGATTCTCAGAGATTCAGGCAAGGGTGCCATGACATTTGGAGACCGCTTCGAAGACTCATCCCAGTACCGATCTCGCAACTTCCTGCCCCGAGCAGGAGAAGGATCATGATGAGGGGTAGGAGCGGCAAGGGAGCTGGCGATGAAAGAATTAAAACTTGAAAGAAAATGCAAGCGGAATGGGGGGGCGCGAGGAAGAGGAGGAAGAGGCGTTGCTCAACTCATGCGTTGAATGTAATTGTTGACGCTTCGCGAATCCCCACCCGCCCATCCAGAAACGATGCCCAGAGGAATTGCCTCGATCAGGGAAGTGGGCAGCACACAGAGGAAGCCAGTATGAGACATCTTGGGATATCTTGAGCCATCTTGGAGGTCATCTTGGGCTCTCCCAGGCGCTCTTGCAGTCATCTTAATCAGTGCCCCCCCCAAGAGGCCAATATGCGGCCAAAACCTTAGTAGAATCAATGATTTGGCATTCTCGCCGAGGCCTCTTGGAGCATCTTGGGTGCCTCTGGGGGGTCTCTTGGGGCCTCTTGGGGGTCTCTTGGGAGCCTCTTGGGGGCATCCTGGGGGCCTCTTGGGGCTTCCTGGCCACCTCTTGGGGCCCTCTTGGGGCACCCTTGGGAGCCTTTGGGGCCATCTTTGGGCCATCTTGCGTGAGATCGATCACAGGAGGGGAGCCCAACATGGGGCCAAAACCCTAGTACAACCAATGGTTTTGGCTTCCTCGCCGAGGCCGTTTTGGACGCCCCGACGACTCGCGACACCCCCCGTCCAGGTCCAGCGGAGGGGGTAAGGGGAGGGGTACACCCCTCCCCGAAGGGGAAGAAGGAGGGGTGGAAGAGGAAACGCTCTAAACCACCGACGCCCAGAGGGCTGGTGGGAATTCCCCCCATTTGGATACCTACATCCAGTTGCGATGCTGCGCGATTCCGCCACTGCGCTAGGGCGGCCGCCTGGGGAGACGCTTGGGGCTTTGGGGGGGTCTCTTGGGCTCTCTTCGGCTGTAGCTGGCTCTCTGAGGGCCCCTGGGGGGCCGTGTTGAGGCTTCAGCGCCGCTCTGGAGGTTCGTGACCCTCTTTGGGCCACCTTGAGGGGGCATCTTGGAGTCCTTCTGTGCTGCCTTGGGGCCGTTGTAGGGGGCATCCTGGGCCGTCTTGGGGCCCTCGTGGAGGCCTCGTGGGCCGTCTGAACGGTTCGCAGACCCGAAGAGGCGTCAACGCTAAACAGTTGTCCAAAAACAAACGACAACGAAGTAGCGTTGCACATTCGGACTCGTCTCTTGGAGGCCTCTTTGAGCGCCTTGGGGGCCCCTCGGTCCGCCTTGGGGCCATCGCGGCCGTCTTGGAGGCCAAGTTGGGCCGTCGTGGAAGCCAGATTGGATCATGTTGTCAGACTTGGGAGGCCGCCGTGGTCATCTTGGAAACAAGTTGGTTCCATGTTGGGTGGGCGGGCTCCCTTGGGGGGTAGATTCCATGAAACGTCACACTGATGACTTTGAGTTTGGGACATGTTTTGCCAAGAAGGCTAAACACGCATGGGGATGGTCAAACATTGAACACATGATGGGTTCGATGTGCAAGGTGGCCTCGATGCTTGCTGTGCGAGAAGCAAACGTAGTGGACAACGGCAAGGGCCCGACGCACCAACCGTTGCAAGCGCGGTGGCGGATAGCAGATCCGTTGGTCCATGAGTGATTCCCAATTTTATTATGCAGAGGTGGTGGTAAAGCGTGCATATACCGCGTAGGCCACGGAGACAAGTAGCGGTGGGGTAGAGGTAACCAGCGGTCAGCATGTCCCCCAGCTTGTGTTTGGTTATACGTGGTGTTCAGCGTGGTGTTCAGCGTATCCGAGTTTGCCGGTCGCGTTGGATTTCGGGGGACGTAGATGTACGATGTTGGAGAATATTGCCACACCGCCCGGGCCCTGAGAAACAACAGCCGCCATCTTTGTGCAATCACGATTTGTTTACGTCCTCTTTCCGCGAGGATTTGATTGTCAGATTGATGGAGGAGGCTAACGCGGAGGCAGACCACCATGCCTTCTGCTCCACGGAGCTGGCAACGAACAAGCAGACTCGCGACAACAAGGCTGCAGTCTCGTTCCGCGCTTTGCGGCATACTCTCCTGCCACCGTAAAGTTCATGGCGGTTCGGCATTCCCGTGATGAGAGGTGCCTGCCACATCAGGACGTCGCAATAGCTTCCAGTGGATTTCAGTCTGCGCCGAGTCATGTGAAATGCATGAGCACCTGCACGGCGCAGGGTGGCTTCGCCGGTGGCGCACCCACGTGGTCGAGGGGTCGCGGAGTCCTGGGAGCGAGGAGCGTTCACATTTTGCGAGTGACCGTGGCGCTGGGGGGGAGCGAGGGTCCTTCATTCGTTGCGTTACGTGCTGATGTGCATTCAGAAGGTGACATTAGAGTGCCCTGAATTGGCAGCACGCCCCTGTCGGATCCAGGGAGGACCGCGCACTGAGACATGGAGGCAATTTTCGGCAGTACTTCCTAAGCTACTTCAGGCACAAGTCATTGCCCACTGGAACGTTCACACCACCGACATCCATCAAAACCTCAGTGCATCACGGTTGCGCGGTGCCAGACGCGCAGGGACTATATGTGATTGGATACACGCGCTAAGTTGCCACAAGACCCTTGCTTCGCAGCCAGGTGCCTCCAGGTTTGTCAGCGATTCGTTGTGTCAGGATTTGCACCTCATGACCGTTGCCTTCTTCCATGCCGTTCGGGTTCGTTCCCAAGGCCCCTCCTCCGTGCCCTTAGAGATTGCGTGGAGATACCGATTGCGAGAGTTGAGTTCTGACTCGGGCCCACCCTGGCCCAACAGATCCATATTGACCCTGTAGAGCGCTGACCCCCTCGACAAAACCGCCTCGATCACATCTTGCAGACTGCACAGAGACTGCCAGTACAGTGGGGGCCCATGACAAGAAACACCCTGCTTCCCTCCAGGGTGCCCTGGGTTTCTTGGGTTTCGCTGGTTTTGGTATGGAAAGCCTGACGTTCCCACACCAAAAATCAATGGACTTCCTTGGGTCTCAGGGTTGGGTTTCTTGTGGAAGGTTTCTTGTGGAAGGGCCCCTGCTGTATGCCTCGCGAGACGATTCCTCTGATTGGGTTGGGATGGCCCCCTCTATCGGCGCAAGGCGGCGGAGGTGGAGGGCCTGACGGCCTCCGTGGACAAGATGACCGCCGAGGTCGGCGAGCTCGCGTCGGAGGCGCACCGGCGAGCTCGCGGCGCGGCGCAGCCCGTCGCGGTGAGTGTGTCAGTAGCCTTAGGTCGGGCATGTCCCCCTGCAGGAGGATCTTGAACAAAAAATCAAAAATATTCAGAAAATGCCCAAAAAGAATCAACAGATACTCAAAAAATTGTCCCCAGACTATTTGCTAATTCTATTTGAATATTCCTCCTGCAGAGGGACACACCCGACTTAACAGTAGCCGCTCCTTTCGGCCCGTGGGAGTTCGTGGTTCAATTTGTCCGAAGCAGTACGGCAGGTTCGCGCCGCACTGACGCGGCAGCGACGCCAGCTCGGGCGTTCAAGGTTGAACGCCGCCAGTGACCAAGAATCGGCCGATATCGACAGATCTGCGATGTCGGAAAGCCACGATCGTTCAAGATTGATCGAGCCACGCGGTGACAGAAACCAATGTCGACGCCTTTGCGACGTGAAACCGTCGTACGAGGGCTAACCATGAGAAAGGTAGTTGAAATGGCGAAGCGGGGCGGCAGAGGCCATCATGGTGGATTGCCGTCAAAAGTGCGAAGCAGTTGGCCACGGACTGGGCGAAGATGATCATCGAAGGGTGTAGCCAGTCACACGTGGAGCACAGCGCGCAGGAGGTGCAGGGGGAAAGCCGAGGAAGAGCGGGAAGAAAAGTCGGGAGGCGAACGAGGGGGGGAGGTGGGATGAGGGACGGGGAAGAGGGTGGGTAGGCGAGTTGGGTACAATGTGTGGCCTCACTTGCTTTGGTTGCCGGCTAGTCGTGTGCCTTGTGGGTGGTGTTCTAATGTCTGGCGTCCTTTGATGTTTTAAAGTTTGCACCTTCCGATGCCTGAATGGATGTGGCTTCTCGTTGATGGCCTAGTGCCCTGATGGCCAGTGCCCTACGATGACGTAATGGTTACGATGTTTAGTTCTTGCGTTGGTGCCTTCTGGGTGGTGTGGTATGGCTCGTGCCGTATCATTTTCGAAACCGAGAGGGGCTATTCCCCACATGCATAGTGGGGTTCTGGTTTTCTTTCCCTGCCGCGTCGCACCCGCGTTTCTCCTCTTCCTCCTCACCCCTCCTTCCCTCTTCCCTCCACACATCCAGGGGCTGGTGTGATGATTCCCTCTCTTTTTCTGGTTCCCCACATCAGCACAAGCAGACACATGAGCACACAGCAGACACACATCCACAGTCGACATCACAGTCATCACATACATCCACCATACACGCAGCACACAGACACACAGCACACAAACAGCACCCGTACACAATACAAGCACAAACAGACACAGCACGCACACGCAGCAAACAGGCAAACAGCACACAGACGTGCAGGGGGTGGTCTCTCACCGCGGTTCTCTATCCGTCTCAGGGTCGCGGGGCGTGGCAGGCGTGGCACTTTCTCGACGCCAGAGAGGGTGCGCAGGGGGTGGTCTCTCACTGGTCTCTCTATCCGTCTCAGGGTCGCGGGGCGTGGCAGGCGTGGCACTTTCTCGACACCAGAGAGGGTGCGCAGGGGGTGGTCTCTCATTGGTCTCTCTATCCGTCTCAGGGCCGCGGGGCGTGGCAGGCGTGGCACTTTCTCGACACCAGAGAGGGTGCGCTGGGGGTGGTCTCTCACTGGTCTCTCTATCCGTCTCAGGGTCGCGGGGCGTGGCAGGCGTGGCACTTTCTCGACACCAGAGAGGGTGCGCAGGGGGTGGTCTCTCACTGGTCTCTCTATCCGTCTCAGGGTCGCGGGGCGTGGCAGGCGTGGCACTTTCTCGACACCAGAGAGGGTGCGCAGGGGGTGGTCTCTCACTGGTCTCAGGGTCGCGGGGCGTGGCAGGCGTTTCTCGACACCAGAGGTGCGCAGGGGGTGGTTTCTCAGGGTCGGGTCGCGGGGCGTGGCAGGCGTGGCACTTTCTCGACACCAGAGAGGGTGCGCAGGGGGTGGTCTCTCACTGGTCTCTCCGTCTCCGTCTCAGGGTCGCGGGGCGTGGCAGGCGTGGCACTTTCGACACCGAGAGAGAGGTGCGCAGGGGCGCAGTCTCTCTCACTGTCTCTTCTATCGCTCAGGGTCGCGGGGCGTGGCAGGCGTGGGTAGGGCGCAGGGATTCTCGACTGCGCAGGGGGTGGTCTCTCACTGGTCTCTCTATCCGTCTCTCTCGCAGGGGCGTGGCAGGCGTGGCACTTTCTCGACACCAGAGAGGGTGCGCAGGGGGTGGTCTCTCACTGGTCTCTCTATCCGTCTCAGGGTCGCGGGGCGTGGCAGGCGTGGCACTTTCTCGACACCAGAGAGGGTGCGCAGGGGGTGGTCTCTCACTGGTCTCTCTATCCGTCTCAGGGTCGCGGGGCGTGGCAGGCGTGGCACTTTCTCGACACCAGAGAGGGTGCGCAGGGGGTGGTCTCTCACTGGTCTCTCTATCCGTCTCAGGGTCGCGGGGCGTGGCAGGCGTGGCACTTTCTCGACACCAGAGAGGGTGCGCAGGGGGTGGTCTCTCACTGGTCTCTCTATCCGTCTCAGGGTCGCGGGGCGTGGAGGTGGCGTGGCACTGTGGTTTCTCGACACCAGAGAGGGTGCGCAGGGGGTGGTTTCTCACTGGTCTCTCTATCCGTCTCAGGGTCGCGGGGCGTGGCAGGCGTGCACTTTCTCGACACCAGAGAGGGTGCGCAGGGGGTGGTCTCTCACTGGTCTCTCTATCCGTCTCAGGGTCGCGGGGCGTGGCAGGCGTGGCACTTTCTCGACGCCAGAGAGGGTGCGCAGGGGGTGGTCTCCCACTGGTCTCTCTATCCGTCTCAGGGTCACGGGGCGTGGCAGGCGTGGCACTTCTCGACACCAGAGAGGGTGCGCAGGGGGTGGTCTCTCACTGGTCTCTCTATCTGTCTCAGGGTCGCGGGGCGTGGCAGGCGTGGCACTGTCTCGACGCCAGTGAGGGTGCGCAGAGGGTCGTTTCTCACTGGTCTCTCTATCTGTCTCAGGGTCGCGGGGCGTGGCAGGCGTGGCACTTTCTCGACACCAGAGAGGGTGCGCAGAGGGTCGTTTCTCATTGGTCTCTTTCTATCCGTCTCAGGGTCGCGGGGCGTGGCAGGCGTGGCACTTTCTCGACACCAGAGAGGGTGCGCAGGGGGTGGTCTCTCACTGGTCGCTCTATCTGTCTCAGGGCCGCGGGGCGTGGCAGGCGTGGCATTTTCTCGACACCAGAGAGGGTGCGCGGAGGGTCGTTTCTCATTGGTCTCTCTATCCGTCTCAGGGTCGCGGGGCGTGGCAGGCGTGGCACTTTCTCGCCACCAGAGAGGGTGCGCAGGGGGTGGTCTCTCACTGGTCTCTATATGTCCCAGGGTCGCGGGGCGTGGCAGGCGTGGCATGTTCTCCACTCCACAGGGGGTGCGCAGGGGGTGGTCCGTCACCGCGGATTCTATCCGTCCCAGGGTCGCGGGGCGTGGCAGGCGTGGCATTTTCTCCGCGCCACGGGGGGTGCGTAGGGGGCAGGTATCGCGGGTGCATTCCATCAGTTGTTTTTGCGTGGGTTTGCGCAGTATCCAGATCAATAAGTACTCTGGCTCAAACCAGCTCGGAGCGCCAGGGTACCTAATCGAAGGCCGCAGTTGGTTGTTGCGCAGGCGCGCTAGCCATGCCGCCTAAAATTGCCATGGACGAGCTGCCGCCTCCGTGCTCGTCGCTGAAGAAAGACATGATTCAGAATGGCGGCGAGGTAAGCTTGGCAGGCTTACGCTGTTGCTCTGAAGCGACGGCGGTCCCCGCATTTCACGCGCACCGCCGCCAGCTGAAAAATTTGTGGCCCAATACCTTGCACGTCCAGGGCACAGCGGTATCGGCGGGGCAACGGCCACCAACATCATTCTCACATGCTTCACTTCAGCTCTCATCACTCCAGCCATAATATAAGTATGCGGTAGCGTAATGAATTACCATTGATATGTGTGGTTCTTGGCCGGACGCATTATTGAAAGTGTTATCGAAGACGCTTACGGCGAACCACCGCCGCCCCCTGCCTTTTTGGAAGCGCCTGCGTGGCCAAAAGTTGGGCTAGAGCTCTGCCAAGCTATCGGGCCATGCGTTCCCCCAGCCGTCGTCGAAACCCTTACCTTAGGGGAATTTTTGGGGGGGTATGGCGGGGAAGATGACGAGGGGGAGGAGGAGGAGGAGGAGGAGGAGGAGGAGGAGGAGGAGGAGGAGGAGGAGGAGGAGGAGGAGGAGGAGGAGGAGGAGGGGGGGGGCAGATTGGGAGCCTCTGGGGGCACCCTTGAGGCCTCCTGGGGGCTTCCTGGGAGCCTCGCTGAGGCACCTTGACGGCCTCCTTGGGCCTCTTGAGGGCCTTATGGGGCGTCTCAGGGGCCTCTTTGGCAGTCTCAGGGCGTTTCTAGTCCGTCTGGCGCCGTGGGAAGCCGTTTTGGGGGCCTCTCTGGGCCCACTTGGGGTCCTCTTCGGATGGTCGGGGGCCGTCTTGGAGGCCGTTTTGGGCGTCGTGGCAGTCTCTGGGGCCGCTTTGGGGTCCTCTTGCGGCCGTCTTGAGGGCCTCTTGAGCCGTTCTGGGGCGTATCGGGAACCTATTGGACCGTCTTGGGCCATTTGGGATGTTTTTTGGGCGGACCCGGAGGCATCTTGGAGCCGTCTTGGGCCGTCTTGGTGGCTTCTTCGACGGACCGTTCAGCACGCCGGGCACCATGGTGACACGCAGAGGGATCGGCGGATCTAGTGGCCTTCTGTCCATCCCGCCACAGTGCCTGAGTTGTCGACTAGAGGCCTTTAGGATGTTCGTTTGGATATCGTGGGAGGCCGATCGGGTGTCTCTTTGAGACAGTTTCGAGGCCGTGCGGGGGCCTCTTGTGGCATTTGCTTCTGCCTCTTGGGGGCCTCGTGGCGGATAACTCGAATTGTCAGTTCGTGTTCCCCGTCTTGAGCCCTTATTGGCCCATCTTGGGGCGTTCTTGGGCGATATTGGGCGCCTCTTGGGACGATTTGGGATGCCTCTTTGGCCATATTGGAGCGTCGGAAGCCTGA